CATGAATCAACCGGAAACCGGCACTCAGTTTTTAAGGGTTATTCTGTACCAATCGTCACCTCTCTTTGGTTACTGGTTCGAACCTTATTGTTCAGCGCTGAATAAAAAAGCAGGTGTGAATTCTCTTGCAAGGACTCACAGGAGACAGTAATGCTCCTTGTGGGGTCCTGGGTGCTCCCTGAGCTTGGCTGTTTCCCTGACTAGGTAACATCATCAGTGCTAGAAGGAGGTGGGATTTGCAGAGAGGAGGAGGAGGAGGAGGAGGAGAAGGAGGAGGAGGAGGAGGACTGTAAGGTCCTTGGTGCTCTCTGAGCTTGGCTGCTGTCTTGCAGACATTTCACTATCCAACTAGGTAACATCATCAGTATTAGAAGGGTGTTGGGTCTAGAGAGGAGAAGGAGGAGGAGGAGGACTGTAGGGTCATTGGTGCTCTCTGAGCTTGGTGATTTTCTTGCAGACGTTTCATTATCCAACTAGATAAGATTATCAGTGTTAGAAGGGTGTGGGGTCTGGAGAGGAGGAGGAGGAGGAGGAACTGTGGGGTCCTTGGTGCTTTCTGAGTTTGGCTGTTCTCTTGCAGGCGTTTGATGACCCCACTAAGAAACATCGTCAGTGGTAGACAGGTGTGGTCTGCTCGCTGTAAACTCTGTAGACAAAGCACTGATCATACTACCTCGTTGGGTCATGAAACATCTGCAAGGAAATCACCAAGCTCCAGGAACCCCAAGGACCCCACCATTCAACTCTGACCTACAAAGATTCTCTTCTATCGGCAGTAATGCTTCTTATTTCCTTAGCGCAGGCAGAAGTGACGTCACACCCTTCTCCCAAATTAGAGTTTGCGGTTCCCAACAGTTCTCTTTCCCCAATTAATTGAGAGGAAAACATTTTCTTGGGATTATCCAGGATGTGCAGAGAAGTGCATCCAGCATTACTCACTCTGGCACACCTTCGACATGTTGCGAAGGACGCAACGAGGGAAGCGGGAGGCCAAACAGCCCCGAGGTTGGAAAACGCCCGTTTGGAGCCTTCTGTAACAAAGGAAAGAGCAATTAAACCGTCAAACTGTTGCCTTGATAGCTACATATTTATTTCCTTTAGACGGTGCAATTTTGTAAAAAAAAAATCCGCTGACGTTTATAGCCCAGCAAACTGGAACATTGGGAGGATACAGTTAGTCCTCGACTTACACAAGCTCATTTCGTGACCGTTCGAATTTACCACAGCACTGAAAAAAGCGACTTACAACTGGTTTTGGCACTTAGGACCAGAGGTGGGCTGAGACCGGTTCACACTGGTTGTCGCAAACCGGTAGTTAAGATTGGGCACAGTTTGACAAACTGGCAAATCCCACCACTGGCCGGTCCCACCACCGCCCGTTTTTCAGCCTGTTTTGGGGGAGGCCCAAAAATCCTATGTGGTGACATCCATGACAGCAGGGTTCTGATATTTGAGGGGTTGCCACAAGGAAGAGGAGGGGGTCAAGCTATTCTCCAAAGCACCTGAAGGTGGGAGAAGAAGCAACAGATGGAAACAAACCAAGGTGACACAAGGAGAAAAGCAACCTGGAACTAAGAAGAAATTTCCTGACAGTGAGGACAATTAACCAGTGGGACAACTTGCCACCAGAAGTTGCAAATGAAGGTTTTTCAAAAGAGATTTGGGCAGCCATTTGTCTGGAATGGCATACGGTCTCCTGCTTGAGAAGGGGGTTGGACTAGAAGGTCTTCAAAGTCCCTTCCAAGTCTTATTCTGTTATCTCAGATCAATTAATCAATGGAACAATTTTCCTTCAGAAAGGGGAGGTTTAAGAGGAGACCGGACAAGCTTTTGTCTGAAATGGTAGAGGCCAGGGGTCCCCAAACTTGGCAACTTTAAGACTTGTGGACTTCAACTCCCAGAGAAGCTGGCTGAGCAATTCTGGGAGTTGAAGTCCACAGGTTTTAAAGTTGCCAAATTTG